CAGGAGGTGTTGGATGTCCAAGGACTACTCTACTTCATCAGGGTAACCTCTATCTGGACCATGTGTAATCTGAGGAGGAGGAAGATGGAAAAGCAGCTCTGAGCCTGGAATCTCAAACTAGTTCTGGGAAATATGAGATGACGAGCTACCTTTCCTGTGAAAATCTGAGAACCCTAGGCATATTTGTCTCATGCTCTGGAAACAGAAGTCAATAACCAAGTTGACTATTATTGCCTAGACCTGTCATTCTATAAGAATTCTGACCACTGCCTCTTCATGATCCCACTTGTTTAACTGAAGTTTTGGAAAAGAGGAAAAGGCCTAGGACTTCAATGACCTGGGGTCTGTGATGTACAGCTTCCTTTCAGAGGTATCTAGGGAAACTGAATTCCACGATGATGCAATGGGCAAACGGCAGCACTAGTTCTTCATACCTACCTTACACTGATCAAATTGTATTATTCCTTTTGACCTTCATTATTACAGTAATAAAGACCTTCCTTCCATACTTCTTTCTAAAAGCCTCTACTTACATAATCTTTTTTTTTTTTTTCTTTTTAGCAATACTTCCATGCTGGAGGAAATGGCCTGAAAAAGAATTTCTTGGAGAAAAGCCCAGATCTGCAGTCTCTGAGATATGCTCTCAGTCTTTACACCCAAACTACTGATGCCTTGATAAAGAAATTCATAGACACTCAAACCTCACAGAGTAAGTAACACATTAGACCTGACAGTAAGGTAAACTGAGAATTAAACTAAAGCTTGACATAATATTTATTATAAATAGTATTAATAATTTTTTGCTATAATAAATTGAGTCATTGTTAAAGATAAAGGATTATGGTTGTTAGAGAATACCAATATCTTTTAGCATTCATTAATTATAACTTTAAAAATAAGTTCAATAACACTAAGATACATTTCTCACTGAAACTATATGTAATGATTGACTCTTCTTGGTGATTTTAACTTTCATAAAACTATTTTAAGTAAAAGCTATTTTTGAATATCCATGACCATGTTATTTTCTTCAATTCAGTACAAAAGATTCACTGTTTGCTGGTCTTCGTAACTTCCAAAAAATGATAATAATTTCCTAAATCCTTACTTCAAATGCAAAATCTCCTGCTGTGGGGTTTCCATAAGGGAAATCTCATTTTATCCTAATTTCATATGAGAAGAATTCCAATTCTTTCTTTGAAATGAGCCAAGAGGCAGGATTAGTATTTTATTTGAAACTCAGATATGTTTCATGTGGCAGAGTTCCCATTTTATAAACTTCTAGGATGTTACTCTTCAAAAACCTTCCTTTCAAGTTGCTTTGTGATTGTTATATTTTGGTAATTATACTCATTAAAGGTCCGGTATTTCTGAGAGTATTGAAAATGTCAGTAAGAGTCAAAAAGAGCCAAATACAGGCTCAAACTCCAGGACCTAATAAATTGTACTATAGAAATAATAAAAATAAATAAGAGGACACTGTCTTCATTCATGAAAGATCCTTGGAAAAGAGTACATATGGGTATTTTTTAAACGATGTTGAAATGCTCTGGACTTGTTTGTCTTTCTTCATGGGTACAATAATTGTTCTAATTACCGCAAAGATGACAGTGCTGATGTAGATGTTATACAGATCATTAGCCTGTCTTTAATACTTTGTTTTTTCTAATAGTATCCAATCAAATACTACAATATCTCTTTCCATATGGTATACAAACCCAGGTTACATTGTGGGATGGTTCCAGAAAGGGGAAAAGATTTGAGCTTATGAGGGATTGTCAGCAGATACAGAAATATTTAAAACATTACTCCATGAACACATGCTCTTTCAAGCTTATCTGAACTTTATAAATACAACTGCAATCCTAGTATAACAATGAAATGATGTTGTAGTTTTATTTCCAGAGAAGAGTATATAAAATGTTTGCTTTGCCTTTATAGGTATACATTTATGTGTATGCACACACACAGAACCCGTTACATGTATACACACACATACACACACACGAGTACATATATGATCACTTTTGGTATATGGAATTTGGCACATTTTTTTTTTTTTATACATATTATATGAAAACTTTAATTTTTTATTATACATATTATATGAAAACTTTAAAAACATATGTGGGGGAGGATCCATAATCCCAATAACCCACTGATTTAATATAAACAGTTTTAGTCTTAGTTTTTCTTTACCTATTTTTCTCCTTTTCTGGTTTTTCCTGAGTAAACAATTTTTTGTGTGTAACTTATATTGGCAGGATATAGATGTGGAATGGCTTTGCATTTTCTTCAGTAACTACATTCAACCATGCTTTGTGGAAACTTATTTCCATCTCTTTCCTCCCCCTTTGATACTTTGTTTTTTCTAATAGTATCCAATCAAATACTACAATATCTCTTTCCATATGGTATACAAACCCAGGTTACATTGTGGGATGGTCCCAGAAAGGGGAAAAGATTTGAGCTTATGAGGGATTGTCAGCAGATACAGAAATATTTAAAACATTACCCCATGAACACATGCTCTTTCAAGCTTATCTGAACTTTATAAATACAACTGCAATCCTAGTATATCAATGAAATGGTGTTGTAGTTTTATTTCCAGAGAAGAGTATATAAAATGTTTGCTTTGCCTTTATAGGTATACATTTATGTGTATGCACACACACAGAACCCGTTACATGTATACACACACATACACACACACGAGTACATATATGATCACTTTTGGTATATGGAATTTGGCACATTTTTTTTTTTTTTCTTTTTGTCTTTTTTCGTGTCCGGCAACGGACCACAGCCCTCAGTGTCGCGCCCGTACCGGGCCGGGACCAGCAACGGGATCGCAACCCTCGGTGCTGCGCCCGCCCCTCGCTCAGCCAGTGAGTGGGAACCGGTCTGTATGTGGGATCCGAACCCTCGGCGGGAGCGCTGCTGAGCTCCCAAGCGGTGCACTGTAGCAGTGCGCCACCGGGCCGGCCCTTTTATTTATTTTTTTTTCTTCTGGCACATTTATTTTTTATTATACATATTATATGAAAACTTTAAAAACATATGCGGGGGAGGATCCATAATCCCAATAACCCACTGATTTAATATAAACAGTTTTAGTCTTAGTTTTTCTTTACCTATTTTTCTCCTTTTCTGGTTTTTCCTGAGTAAACAATTTTTTGTGTGTAACTTATATTGGCAGGATATAGATGTGGAATGGCTTTGCATTTTCTCCAGTAACTACATTCAACCATGCTTTGTGGAAACTTATTTCCATCTCTTTCCTCCCCCTTTGNTCTTAGTTTTTCTTTACCTATTTTTCTCCTTTTCTGGTTTTTCCTGAGTAAACAATTTTTTGTGTGTAACTTATATTGGCAGGATATAGATGTGGAATGGCTTTGCATTTTCTTCAGTAACTACATTCAACCATGCTTTGTGGAAACTTATTTCCATCTCTTTCCTCCCCCTTTGAAATTCCCCCACTGTTCCCAGCCTGGCATGCCCAGGCCTGGAGGACTTGGGGTGTAAAAGGAGCTCAATGTGCACTTTGCTCCTCCTCTAGCCTCATCTACATCCCTCTCTGCCTCAGCGTTTTAGGAGTGGAAACTTGAAGGGGAGGAGATGTCTTCAGTGCTCCCCATATGTTTGCAACAAAATGCTAGCTTTTGCATATGTGTTCCTGGGGGCCTAGTGTTTGGGACTCTACTTTCCATACAGTTCCTGATGAGCGGAATCTATTCCAGCTTGACTCCCTTCAGTGACCCCTTTGCTTACTGCAGCATATACCATAGCTTCTTGCTGCTTGAAAATTTACTTCTAGTGGCCAGCCTTCTGGAATGGGGTCCCAGCAAGAAGTCTAAGGCTCAGCTTCCCCCATAAGGACCACTCAAGCCANACTACTGTCTAATATAACATAACCACATTCAATAAAAAATGGAAGCAAGCCAAGGTCTCACCAGTTAATGGATCCAAGATTTCTGAATAATATTACTTGTCTCCTTTGAATTCTATTACAATTTCATTTCAATATGCACGGTCCATAGACTGAGTAATAAAGTTAGCCACCAACGCCATACTCTCTATAAAATTGTGAGGGACAGGAGAGATAAAATGAAAACTAGCTGAATTTTAGAATTATTTATGAAACAACAAAAACTATGGTACAGGATACAATACTCATTTTTGTAACTGATCCTAAAGTCATGGTTTGTAGTTATAATTTCCAAATTCTCTTGTCCAGTCCATATTCTCTTTGGCTTCTAAGGAAACTCAACTGCCAGGGTTCTTTGACAGAGAAATATAAAAAAGGTTTAATTCTTGAGGTCTTATTTATATAGGATACCATACTATGAACATTTGACCCTGGATATGTTGAAATAGAGGCATTTTGGCTCTACTCTGGATTCCATGGGTACTTTTCCTACAGATGACCATTTCCAATTAAGCAGAATCAATTATCCCCGTTTTGTACCTGTTATCCTGGTGGCATGGAGTCCAAAATGACCAAATGAAGTCTCAGTTTCTAGTATAAATATTGTTGGAATTATTCAAATGATTTTCTAGGACTTAGCACAATACCAAATACCATGAATATTTATTATTTTAATTTTTGTTAATCTACCTTAGATTTTGTTGATACAATTTAGAAAGACCATACTGGTGTTATGGTATTGTTCAAATGTAAAATAGTAATAGCTACCACTGCTTATTGCAGACACCTGCCACTCCTTACCTGAGGAGCCACAGGCCCATACATGCTCAGTCCCATGCAGGGTTAGCATCAGAGACAGTGAATGCCCCAGAGAGTAGCCCTCAAGCTGTGAAAGACAGGAAGTTGATAGATTAAAAAAAATGAAAAAAGAAATAAACAGAAAAAAGCTTTCATTTACTTAAATCTAGACTCTGTGCTCTTAACCACTGTGTCCACATCTGCTTGATGATAAATATAAAGGCTAACAACCTTGAATGAATTTTCCCCATTATATGGGCTTTTTCTCTTGTGTTTTCTTGAATTAATGAAATTCAACTTGTAAAAAAAGTACCAGAAACTTAACATGTTTTTATTTATCTTATAATCAATGAGACACAAAGTGATTTATTGTTCTCTTAATTTCTAATTCATACTGTACAGGGAAATGGTTTCAACCTGAATGGAATCCTGATTTAAGTGTTATTTAATCAATCTACGTGTTGTGTAAAAAGTGCCATGATTCTTTAGAAATCTAAGTGTACTTTTTAAAGCATTGATGATTTACTTATTCTCATATAATCTCTTACTCCATTTTTCTTCTTTTCCTTTCTTTTTAAAAAATTTCTTCTCATCTCTTTCTTTTCTGTTCTTTTGCTTGTCTACATGTTAGAAAATTAAGTGTAGTATTAAATATAAGTAAAAAGTCAATGGCTTTTAATTGATGTTCAAGTTGAAAGATACACTTTCCTTTAAAAATATTTTTATTTTAATTCAACTGTTTTATAAATGGGTTAAGAGGTATAAAAAAGCCTATGGTATCTTGCTCACTTACTCTTTCTTCTCTCCCTCTTCTATCTTTTTCTTGCTCCTTTCTCTTTTATTTTTCTCTGCTTTCCTCCTTCTTTGTTCTCTGGAATAGATTTAGTTGTCATTTTTCTCTAGTAGAAAAAAAGAAATACAGAAGCTACAGGTATTGAGTTCCATTAGAAATTTATGATCTACTGAATTCAAGTGAGATCTAT